CATGGAAGCAAACAAGGAAAAGATTTCATTGAGGGGAGAATAATTCGCTGGTAAGTGATATATGATAATATTTGGCTTTACTAACTTTGGTGACCTAGACAGAAACAATTCTGATGGATTGAAGAGGTTTCTAAAGAGTAAGGGAGGTGAGAAATTGGGGCCATTAAATGTATTCAACTTTTTCAGGAAGTTTTACTGTAAAGAGAAAGAATATACAAAGAAAGACTTGTGGGAACAACAGAGGTTTTTTGTGTGTTTGTTTTAAGATGAGATAAATAACAACATGTTTATCTCATTAAGCGGATAATACAGAAGAAAGAATGATTGAGAAAAAAGGAGAGAGAGTGTAAAGTGACTAGAGTAATGTATTTGAATAAGTGAAAGAGGTTGGGTCCGAGAGGTAAGGTGTAGGAGCTGACCTTGGCTAGGGGAACAGACAGTCCATCTATAGTGCCAGATGGAAGGCAGGGGTACTGGCACAGATGTGGTGTCAGATACCACGGGAATTCTCTTCTGATGCTTCAGTTTTGTTAGAACAGAGAACAGAGCAAACTGAAGTGAGGATGGGAAGTTGTACTGATCTCAGAGGAGAGAAGAGAAAGCATAAAATGGCCATCTAGGAAGGTGAGGGAATTCATGAACTAGGGCTATGATCTGATTGCCCTGCAGCTTTAAGAGCCCACTGGAGATTAGAGATCATGAATTTAAAATGAGAAGTCAGCAAGATTTTTGTTTGTTCTCCCTCCCTCCCTCCCTTCCTCTTCCTTCCCCTCCTTCCTTCCTTCCTTCCTTCCTTCCTTCCTTCCTTCCTTCCTTCCTTCCTTCCTTTCCTCTTTCTCTCTTTTTCTCTCTTTCTTTTCTCCAACTTCAGCTACATAAAGGCTACATTAATTAGGCAGAAAGGTGAATTTCACAGGGATTGTGTTTGGCCAGATGAGTATGATGAAGAGAGGGGCAAGGGAATTGAGGGTGTACATGGGAAAGTTAAATAGTTGACCATGGAATTTAAGGAGGAAAAGTGGGGACAGTAAACAGGCAGGAGGGTCACTGGAGGTCCAGGTGGGGCCAAGGACTTTTGCAATTGAGGTACCAGTTGCTTTGAGTGCTACAAAACAACCTTACAACAAGATTACCTTAAGATTCTCGAACTCATTTTTTGTTTCTTGATCTGGGATGATGAAGACATCATTCTGCAGGTCATATTCTGCCATCTTGGTGACAGTCATGTGTCCATTGATCTCCTTCCAGAGCACAACATCATATCCAGTGTTTAAATCCCCATGAGCATCAAAATGAAATGAATTCCCTCCAACAGTGAATGTCACATTTTTTAGCACATCAAGTAACTATAAAAAATAAAAACAGAAATAAGCACTTAAAATAAATGTTGCAAGTGTATTCATTATTTTAATTATAACACGACCTTATAAAGCATATCACTTAAAAATGAAGGAAAAAAGATTACGGATCACTGGTTGGAAAATTCGTAACTATCTGACAATAATTTGAGGATGAATTTCACTTGGGTTCTAGCTTCATTTCTGCCTAACTTTCACTATATAAATTTGAGAAAGCAAGTTAATTTCTATGGATGGTTGTTTCTAAGTATCTGCATTTATCCTACAGAATTTTAGCATAGGTCCCCTGGTACAGACACCTGGGATCTAACTCTGGTTCCATCTCTCATCGGTGCAATCTTGACAATTACAATTGCTTTCCATCTTACTATCTCCAATGTTTCTTAAGTTTGTTTCAATGATTGAGTATGTAGCAAAGTGATCACTAAATTATATTTCTAATTTAATTCACAAAATAATTTATTTTTTAGCTTGAGAGGAAATAAGTATAAAGATAAATTACCTGTCTTGCTACACAATTTTTACAGTGAGAACTTGTATATTACAGAGTTAGGACACAAAATATTTTGCTAACAAATGAAGTAGCCATATTGAGGTTTTGCTGTAGTGGAAGAACAATAGGCTGGAAGGTAGGGAAACAGGCTGCTGTTCTGGCTTCACCATTAACTTAGTATATAAGTATGCCAAGTAAATATCCTCTCTGAATGTTTTCATAATGGCCCATTTGTTACCTAAATCTATGGTTCTATGTGGCTTTTGTTGGGTATAAAATCTATAGAATAAGGCAGAAATTATTCTATTTGAAGAGAATTATTCTGTTCTATTTCTTTTAAGTTAATTTTTTATGAGTGTTTTAATTTTTTGTCATAGAATATAAAAATGTTATTTTTTCAAGTAAATAGATTAACTATGACAATAATGTCAATGAGAAGTGTTACTGTAGCAGAATCACTACCTGTGTGTATTTTTTATGTCCCCACAGATTTCTTAGCTCTTTTAATGGATATCAATAAATTAGTATTACTTTAAAGAAACAGGATATCAGATCTAACAGGGTGGAATTAACTAACAAAATTTTATTCTATCAATTGCCAAGAAAAAAAATGAAGAGAACAAAAATAAAAGAATACGCAGGGCCTACCTCCAATGTTCCCACTTCTATCTGTTGACTGGTTTGTTTCTTCTGTTCCTTCCTTAAGCAATATACACATGCAAACCCCAGTAACTCAGTTCTTTAGGGGGCATATCCTCTTCCACACAAGTGTTTGAACTATAATTTCCACCTCTTTTTTTCCTGTACTTAATTAGGCTTTATAGGCTAAAGTTCTGACATATATATGTTCTGTAAATAATCATAAAATTGTATAATGTAAATAAACTTCCATTATTTTATGCTTGTTCTTACAGGAAAGAGGATAGAAGCAAATACAGCAGTATTTTCATTACTCATTAAATAAACTCCAGTTATTAAGCTGTTAAATGCCTTTTTGCATCATTTAAAAAAATTTTCATGAAGACTGAAATTCACTATCAATTGACACTACAACATTTAGAGAATGGGATTTTCATTTCAATTATTATATTTTTAATTTCAATTATCATATTACTCATTCACCTGTGTATGGTAATGGCCAGTTTTTAAGCACATATGGCCAGGAATCACAACAATTAAGGTGATACGGTTGACACTGTTTTCCATTGTCCTAACTGTGCTGATGTCTGCTTTACCTCATAAGTAAGGTTACTGTGGAAAGACGTAACTACATGGCTAAGTTAGAGAAGAGCAGAGGAAACAACCTTACATCTGTGTCCTGGTGCCCAGACTATGTCTTCTTCTATTAACTTTTCCATGATGTAGCAGAAAAGACACTGATCTAAGGTTGGGGCCACAGTTTCATTGCTGTCTATGTGAGTGACAGTGGGACAGATCTTTACTGTTGAGGTTCCTTCCACCTATAAACTGTGACGAGTCTTGGTCACCAGAAATACTTCTTCTTATCACTTCTTCAAGATGGAATATAAGGAAGGTGGTATGTCTCAGTATCTAGAATCATATGCTTTAAAAATTATTACTTATTATTATAAGTAATATGCCAATATTACTCTCATGTCTCTCTTGACTTCTGGACTAATATGCAACTACCTTGCTGCATTTACTAATACATATCTCAACTTCTTCAAATTCAACATTTCCAAAATGGAATGCTTAATATATTTCTTACTCCCACCAGACCTCCACTTTTCTCTATGGTTCCAGCTTGACAAATGACACCAGTTGCCCCAAATTTGAATCATCTGCAACATTTTTGATGCTCTCTGTCATCATTTATATCCAATCTATCTCCAAATGCTCTTCATCCTCTCTCTTAAATATCCATGCATGTGTCTCTTCATCCTTATTGTCATACCTGTAGACATTCTTATCTTACGTCAGATTTACCGAATTAGTCTTTCTCCCTCCAGTCTTGTGTGGAGAGATCAATTTAATCAATTCACCACATGAAAAAAAGTATCATATCACTCTCCTGCCTGAAAATGTCTTTAATTAGCTGCCATTTCCTCTGTCAAGTTCAAACTTTTGAACATAGTTTGCAACCTTTCTATTTAACAGGGAGCCCCTATATGAGCAGTGTCAGCATCATCTGGGAAATTGTTAGAAATGCAGACTTTTCAATCCCACTGTGGAACTACTGAATTAGCATGATAAGATTCTCAGGAAATTCAACTGCTCATCAAAGTTTGAGATGCCCTGATGGACAAGGCTCTAATAATGTGCCCTTCACTATCTCATTCAGTCTCCTCACTAAGTCATTCAGTTAGTCCTTCATGAACTCATTATAGCTCTCATGCAAGACTCCAGTCATATGGCATGATTTTCTGCTTCTTGAGGATGCTGTGCTTTCTTTTCTCTCTTTTTTGGGACTTTGCTGGAGTGTGTCTGTTCTGGCTAACTGCTATCCTTCCTTGCATTCACATAGAGGTCATGTTTTTTTTGGACAATGTTCTCTAAATTGCTACTACTGGATTAGCTGTCTCGCTTATGTACTTCTCTGCTATCTGCAGAGAAACGCTATGATGCACCATCCTGCATTGTAATCAGCTCCTTAAATGATTGTATACATCATTGGACAGATCATTCCTTTAGGGAAGGAATTCTGTCCCGTTCTCCATGATATTTTCATCACTCAACACAATGCCTGCAACGTTGAAACACCAAACATTTGCTAAATAAATATATAAATAGAAGTTTAACTATTAGATATTCTTTCATCTCCCATATATCACTTACTACCTTATATATCATCAGAAGTAAAGGAAAACAAAAAAGAAACCCAAATCACTAGTCACAGCATGGAAGTGATATCCTCCACACACATCTGAGGAACATTAAAAATCTGCTGAAGTAAAGCAAGCATGACTGTGCTGTCCCTGAGTACGGCTCACAAATAACCACTAAATATAGGGCCAAAGTAAGTGCTCTCCTCAAACACTGGGAAAAATTAACCACTTTAAAATTATTTGAATCTAACATAATTTAGAAAGTATTATTTAAATATTAGTGAATTTTGCTAAGATACAAAGTAATTCTTAAGAATGTATCTTTGGCTAGGGACCCTAAATGTTGCTGATCTTTAAAATTTAAGTCTACAGAGATTTCTTTATAAAGGTATAACTCTCTATTATTTATCTTACTGAATCTGGCACTGACTAGATGCGGCTCACTCATGTCATGATCAAAGGAGCAAGTTATCCCCCGTTCTTCCTTTCCAATCTGTTTCTGTTTGTTTCTAGGTTAACATGCTCTGGGGACAAAAATAATGACTCCAGGCTCTTAGTGTTAAAATAAAACATTTTAGAAAACTGCTTAGATGATTTCTTCTCAAATCTTACCCTCAAAATGTTCGAGACTTATTCGTAATATAAAATACTTTTCCTATTTCCCCCAAATCTTCAGGGGGTGAATAACTTGCTATTTGCATTTCTTTGTCCTTACGAGGTTCTTTATGTATCTCCGACTTTATATTATCTGTCTCCATGACTGTTCTCTATTTCTCTTTCTCAATCTCTCATTTCTAAAATTCCATGTGGTGGTATCATTATTGTTTAAAAATTAAAACTGTTTTTCTGCAGTGCATCAAGCCAAAAGCCTTGAAATATATTAGAAAACATTGTTCTGAACTTGGAATATAGTGAAGAATGATGATCTAAAAAAGATAATTTATGGTTTTTACCACCGTCATTAAAGTTTTATACTACAAAGGGAATGCTTTCATATAAATGTCTTAAAGTTGTAAGACATAAAAATACATGTATATATTCTAAAAGAGCATATTCTTTCAACATATTCCCTTCCCATTTAAATTTGATCCATTAGATTAATTGGCCCACCAATATTTGCAGGCAGAACATCATTTAGATCATTGAGAAAAGGTCCTAATCTCTAGTTTTACCTCTTTATCAGATTTTTGGCTTTGTATTTACAAAGCGAAAAGTAGTTTAAAAATGAGCAATTTAAAATACCCTCCCACCATTGCATAATCCTCCCAGATGTTAACTAGTTATATCAGACCTCAGAGACGGTATTTTGGGGTGTGTTAAGTAAAAAAATGACAAAAGTAGGAATAGCTTGTTCTAGATATCCATTTAATGATCAGAAGAATCATGTTATTTCTTTTACCTTCTTTTCTCTTACAAATTTAAAAAATATATATTTTGTAACATGCTTCTGCCTCAAGACATTCAAGTTTGTCTTTGAATACATATTATTGAGAAATTTGTTTCTAATAAGTAAAACATCATTATTAAAAGAAGCAATTTACTTTTCAATGCCTTGTTCAAGGATATTTCAGAAAGCACAATGGAAATTTTTCAAAAATGGAGCCACATTAAATTTTAAGTTTCCCCAAACTAATCAAAGAGAAGAAAGGGAAAACGTTCTTTTATGCACAATTGGTGGTTTCTTTAAACCTGGAATATCATAATTGACCTAACAACATTCCCTTGAAGAAGACTGGAGTCCAAGTCCTTTATATGTATACATACACACATAAAGATTCTAATGGTCTTTATGTGTATACATATTTATTTACTCTACCTCCATACTAACTGAGAATCTTAACTGTAGACATTGGGATTATAAACCACCAAAGACAGTGAAAAGCAAGGAAAATGGAGTCAGAAGATCCAGACTGCAGTCTTATTTCTGGTACTTCCTAGCTCTAGTTTCCTCATCCATCATATTTAATAAAAACCAAAAGGGTTATTAAACATGTCTGCTCTAACTCTTGTGTTTGTTAAGAGCATTTAAAAGTGATAATTTGTATAACTCAAGAAAAATACCATCAACAAAAGAATTTTCTTGGGAAATAAAAGAGCACAACTTTGGTAGGGCCGAATAGGAAGTGAAGATAAAACAGAACTCTATTATCTTCAAGAGTAAGGCACTATAATAGAAAGGCAGGTTATTTAAACACTAAACGTGTCTATTTGTAAAAGGAATAAGACTAAGAGCAATTAACATAAATCTTTGCAAATTAATACAAGGAAGGAAACGGTGAAAATGATGGTAGGAGAGTTTTCTTGAATATGTGAGTTAGTACCTCCCATGGTTGAAAGGCGTTGGGCTTCTGACAGTCACGAGCTTGACACAGATCCTGAATGGCATAACCAAGGGCAAACACTGCAAGCTGAATACTATGAATGAGTCCTGGCTCAGCATAATCCCGGAGGAAGTCATTTCTCATAAAGAAGTTCCTTTCTATAGTCTTGTTAGCCTTGTAGGCCAAAGTCCCCTGAGAATGATTGAAAATGCATTGACTCAAATCAGTGTCCTTGACATACGCGCAGGCAGATAAATGCATGACATATTCACGCAAGAGTTTGTTACTGGGAAGCAAGTGCAGATTTTGAAGAAAGGAATGGAAAGAGGATATATTCCCTCTTCTAAAGGTAAACCCCACAACTTTGCCAATCTTTTTAACATTAGGAATGGTAGTAATCTTGGTGGCAGTTGACCAATTATCACTAGCAATCCACATCTTATTTATATTCATTTCAATGGCTTTATTGAAGAGATCGAAAACATGGAATTGCCTCAGAAATACCACAATGACATTAACCTGGGCTTCTAAAGCGATTTTCTCCAGTGTCTGATTGAGTCTGACTTCAATGGTGTTATCTGAAAGAAAGGCTGGGAGAACCTCTTTGAAGGCTATGCACACATTCTTTGCTTCAACCTGAATTGTAAAAGTGTTAAGAGCCAATCGTCCATAGTCATCATCTGTGGTTACAATGCCAACCCAGTTCCAACCAGATTTCTGAATCAGGTGAACCATTGCTTTAATTTGATGGAAGTCGCTGGGCACAGTCCGTAAAAATGAAGGAAAGCGAATCTTGTCACTCAGGATTTCTGCTGTTGATTCATAACCCACCTGGAAAGAGACAGAATCTTTTAGTTACAGTGTTGATGAACTCCAGGTGACTGTTACAGTAGGTGTTCCTCTCTTTGATTTCTGTAAGTTTTCACAACTTTTCTTAAATTCTCTAGTCCTTTTTATCCTTCTCCTTCTATGAATTATTACTTTACAAACAACTTAAATCATGATATTTAGCCCCTGATGATGGTTTAGAGTCATGGCTTTCTAATTATTTCATACTGTGTTTAGTATAAGCCTTCTGAGAATTCAGGCTCTACCTCATATTTCCATTTACACCTCTATATCCCTCTATATCTATCTTGCATCTCTGGCTGGGGGCCAAGAGTGGATATTATTTAAATACTTAGAGGTAAATACAGGAAAAATGCAGTCCATCATAGAAGCAAAATGCAGTTTGGGACATCAGTGTGTGAAAAATCTTGTCTAATTCAGAATTTGTGTGATTTTATTCTAGGTAAAGTCAATCAGTCGAATAATCGTCTTGTCCAGGAGTCAGCAAAATTTTCTTGTAAAGGACCAGATACAAAATATTTTAAACTTTTTTGGTCATACATAGTCTCTGTCATATCTTTTTTTCTTTTTCTGTTACAACTTTTTAGAAATGTAAAAACTATTTTTAGCTTGAAAGCTCAAGAGCATGGTAGCCACATTTGGTCCACAGGCTATGGTTTTCTGACTTCTGATCTAGTCAAACAAACATCACCATTTTGGAAGACCTACTTAATGTATGCAAGGTTTTGCCTGATTCATAGCTTTGGCGAATTATTACCTTCTATAGATGCAATAGCAATGTGTCACTTGTTCAGCATTTCTTTTTTTCTTTTTTTGTTTTGTTTTAACTTTCTTTTTTTTTTTTTGAGATGGAGTCTCGATCTGTTGCCCAGACTGGAATGCAGTGGCATCATCTTGGCTCACTGTAACCGCCACCTCTTAGGTTCAAGTGATTCTTCTGCCTCAGCCTCCCGAGTAGCTGGGACTACAGGCATGCACCACAACACCTGGCTAATTTTTCTCTTTTTTGTAAAGACAGGGTTTCACCATATTGGTTAAGCTGGTCTCGAACTCCTGACCTTGTGATCCACCCGCCTTGGCCTCCCACTGCCGCCTGGCTGTTTTTTTTTTTTTTTTTTTAAATTATTGTTATATTTTAAGTTCTGGGGTGCATGTGCAGATCATGCAGGATTCTTTATTTTATTTTTTTAATTTTTTTTCCCATTTATTTATTTTATTGCATTTTAGGTTTTGGGGTACATGAGAATAACATGCAAAATTCTTGCGTAGGTACACACGTGGCAGTGTGCTTTGCTGCCTTCCTCCCCATCACCTATATCTGGCATTTCTCCCCTTGCTATCTCTCCCCAGCTCCCCACCCCCCACCGTCCCTCCCCTATTTCCCCCCAACTGACCCCAGTGTGTAGTGCTCCCCTCCCTGTGTCCTATAGGTTTGTCATTTTAGAAACAAGACAGTTTAGGCCCTAAGAGGTTTGTATCTTCTACAAATCAAGCTGAAAATGGTCAGAAAGTAGACCTGACAGATTGAGGGGTGATTAATCCTTTAGCACTTTTCCACTATACTATCTGTAATGGTGTGCATCCTTTCTTTAAAAACAAAGAAAAGTTAAAGTAAAAGCGACTCCCTAACTAGTTTCCTCAGGTTTCCCTGATCCTTTCATAATAATAAATGTGAGGAAAATCAATGTATGGAGGCAGAACAAAACCTACCTGTGGTATGAGCTGTAAATTCAACATCCTGGAGACAGCCATGGTTATTTCTGAGTAGCCAGAACCTATGATAGCCTTAACTCTTGGCATATAGCTGGAAAAGTCACACTTAAACTCCACAGTTTCTCTGGAGCAGTTGAATTTAGAAAGAAACCTCAGAGTGGCTGCCATCGCCACTGTGACTTCTGTACAAGTGTCATAGATTTCATACCCCAGTTTGACTCCAGATAATAGTGTTGAATTGTTGATCATCTCAATGCTGTGTATCATGGCAAGAGTTTGAAGAAAGACTGATATTTCAAAGCTGTTGGGAAACAAGTATTTTTTGAAATCAGATCATAACTCCTCTATGGACATGGCCGTAACACATTGTGTCTACATCTCCTTATAACAATTTCTGGATGAGTGAAGCTTATCTCTTAAAGGATCTAAATTTTATTTAAAAATAATTTTTTATGAAATATTTATGAAAGGTAATATAAAGCCCCACAGTTTCTTAAAAGGAGTCTGTGCTACAGATTTAACCTTTTCTTGATGACTTTTTTGAGCATATCAAACACTACAATACGAAGATATGTTTGATTTTTGTTCCTTTTCGTAGTTAGATGTCAGCATTTTATTACTGTCAAAATGCTTGCCTTTTAGACTCATAAACCTGTCATTTAGTTTTCTGATTCCAATTTGTGTGATTGGAAACCAGGTAAATAAGACTGTTAAGAATTACATTTAAACAGCTCTGATTAAGTCCTAACAACTTGTTCCTAGATAAAGGGCCTTATTTTAGTTCTGAGGCATAGCTCTTTCCACATTCAGAGGATGTTTTTTATACATCTTGATTTGTGCCTATTCCAGAGCACTGAGTTTTCTGATTACTGATTTACTGTTATTTCATCCACCACTGTACACAAAGGATTCAATACATGCTTTTTAAATAAGTAAAGGGGGATATTAATGTTCAGGGTTTGATATTCTAGTTTCTTTTTTGTTCATTAAGTTTTGATAATTAAACTATTTGAATATTACTGTCTGTCATTGTGAGCCATGTTTAGGTGGTTCTATCTGTACAAATGCATCTCTTACTATGTTTCCTTCTGCTTTACTAATCTAGCCAGATTGAATTTTTTGCTATTCTTTGGACAGTCCAACTTTTCACTTGTTGCTTCTTGGCCAGATACTCTTGCCCTTTCCCTCAAATAATGAAATAAATAATAATAATAATAATGTATTAATAAGTTAAACTATTTGAATATTAGTATTTGTCATTGTGAACCATGGCTTGCAATTACAATTAGTAATATTCAAATAGCTCAATTTATCAAAACATAATGAACTGAAAAGAAACTATAATATCAAAACCATGAACAATAATATCCCTCTTTGTTAAAATTTTAAATTTAATTAAAAACTTTAATTCACTAATTAAAATTTCAATTAAAAAAGAGAAGTAAGCTCAGCTCATCATTGGCATAACCAACATTAGCGTGCATCACTCAGGACTCAGCGGGTCACCCTGTCACTGCTGTTGCCATCACAGATGCCACACCAGCTTCTCAAGAGCCCAAGAAATCACCCACCTGCTGGTTCCATGAATTTCACTACCAGCATTTGAATAAGGAGCCTGGAGTCCCAAGAATTGGCCTGGTTTGACCAAACACTGGTACCAGCGTATGCTGCCCTGGGACATAAGGACAGGCATACTCAGTCCACTGCTAACACCTCTGAGGCTCAAAGACTGGCTTACTTGGCATCACAGTCACCAGAAAAACTGTACCATAACCCCCACTAATAATTGTACCCTAAGCCACTGAGGAAATGTCAGATGCCACTTATGCTATTAACAGCTAAAGAAATCAAAGAAACTATACTACTACTGCAACCAGAATAAAAGCCAAAGTACCCTGCCCAACTAACACTATCTATTCATCCTTAAACTTTCTCCCCCTACAAAAAACAAATTCTTAAAATTTGGAAGAAGCAACTGAAACATCAGATTTACATATATCAACATAACAACACAGGAAACATTAAAAAGCAAGAAAAGATGATGCTTTTAAAGGAAGATATACTATCATACTGGTCTTTAAGAAAAAAAAATTTAAATAAATTTTTTAAAAAAGGAACATAATAATTTTCCAGAAACAGATCTCAATCAAAAAGCAATTTATGAAATTTCACAAAAAGAATTCAAATGACAGATTCTAAAGAAGCATAGAGAGATACAAGATAATTCTGAAAAACAATACAAATAAATCTGAAAAACAATTCTGAATATGAATGAGAAGTTTACCAAAGAGACAGATGCCATAAAAAAATCAAACAGGAATTCTGAAATGGAACAATTCATTGAATGATGACATAATACATTTGAAACCTTCAACAATAGATTAGATAAAGCAGAAGAAAGAACCTTAGAACCTGAAGACAGTTCAGTTTCAACTTTTGAAATAACCCAGCCTTGCAAAGATAAAGAAAAGAAAAAGAATTTTAAAAAAGCTAAACAAAGCCTTCGTGATATATGGAACACCTTAAAGTGACCAAATATATAAATTACTGATATCCCAGGAGGTAAAGAGAGATTGAGATAGTTAAAGGTATTAAAAAAATAATAGATAAAAATAATAAAAACTTTCCACATCTAACAGTAGGTTTAGACATCCAGATACAGGAGGCCCAGCAATCCCTAAACATACACATTGCACAAATTCTCCACATCACATTATAGTTAAAATGTCTAAAGTCAATGACAAAGAATTCAAAACAGAAAAGAATCTAGTCATCAATAAAGGAAATTCCATCATACTAATAGAAGATGTCTTAGCAGAAACCTTATAGGTCAGAAGAGAATAAGATGATATTTTTAAAGTGCTGAGGAAAAAACCTTGCCAGCCAAGGATATTATATCCATAAATAATTATCCATAAATGGAGGACACATGAAGTTGTCCCCAGACAAACAAAAGCTGAGGGAGTTCAGCACCACAAGACTGGCCCTACAAATACTCAAGGGAGTTCTATACCTGGAAGGGGAATGATGTTGCTTATCATCATGAAAACACAAGAAAGTGTAAAACAATGGCAAAGCAAACACACAAATGAAGAAGAGAAAGGACTCAATTGATACTACTATAGATATTCATCTACCAAATCACAATGACAAAAAATGAAAAAAAGAAAGGAACATAGAATATGTAAAACAACCAGTAAACAACATGACAGGAACAAAACTTCATGTGTCAATATTAACCTTGAATGTAAAAGGATTAAATTTTTCTCTTAAGAGATATACACTGGATATATAAATTTAAAAAAGCATAATCCAGTTATATGGAACCTACAAGAAATGCACTTTACATATAAAGGCACATATAGACTGAAAGTAAAGGGATACAGAAAGATATTCCATGCAAACAAAAAACAAAAATGAGCAGAAGTAGCTATACTTAGATAAAACATACTATAAGACCAACATAGTAGAGAAAGTAAAAGAAGGTCATTATATAGTGATAAGGAATCAATCAAGGAAGAGGAAATAATTTAAAATTTATATGCAACTAACACTGAAGCACAGCGATTCATAAAGCAAAAGTTACTAGATCTAAAAAGAGAGAGACTCCAATACAATATTAGTGGGAAACTTTAACACCCCACTCAGCATTAGGTAGATCATCTAGACAGAAAATTGGCAAAAATATAATGAACTTACTACTGGGCATGGTAGTTCACCCTTGTAATCCCAGAGTTTTTGGAGGCTGAGGGGGGCAGATCACTTGATGTCAGGAGTTCAAGACCAGCCTGGCCAACATGATGAAGCCCATCTCTACTAAAAATACAAAAATTAGCTAGGCATGATGGTACACACTTGTAATCTCAGCTACTTGGGAGGCTGAGGTGGAAGGATTGTTTGAACCCAGGAAATGGAGGTTGCAGTCAGCCAAGATTGCACCACTGCACTCTAGCCTGGGCAACAGAGTGAGAATTTGTCTCAAGAAAAGGACTTAAATTGAACGTTAGACCAAGTGGACCTAACACATTTACAGAACATTTTATCCAACAACTGCAGAATACACATTCTTATCATGGAACATTCTCTAGGACAGGCTATATATTAGGCCATAAAACAAGTAATAACAAATATATAAAAATAAAAATTATATCAAATATATTCTCAGGACACAATGGAATAAAATTAGAAATCCATAACAAGAGGAACTTTAGAAACTATAAAAATCAAAAGAAATTAAATAATATGCTTCTGAATAACCACTGGGTTAATGAAGAAATTAAGATGGAAATCAAAAAACTTATTAAGACAAACAAAAATGGAAACAACTGTAGTAGCCCCTTCTCACATTGCTGTAAGGAAATAACTGAGACTGGGTAATTTATAAAGAAAAGAGGTTTAATTGGCTCATAGTCCTGCAGGTTGTACAGGAAGCATGATGTTGGCATCTGCTCAGCTTCTTGGGAGGTCTTAGGACATATACAATCACGGTGGAAGGCAAAGAGAGGCATTGACACCTCATATGGCCAGAGCAAAAAAAAAAAAAAGAAAGAGAGAGGGAAGATGTAACACACTTTTAAACAACCAGATCTCATGAGAACTCTATCACAAGAACAGCACTAGTGGGATGATGCTAAACCATCCATTATCCAATCACCTTCCACCAGGCTATCTCCAACATTGGGGATTATAATTTGACATGAGATTTGGGCAGGGACACAGATCTAAACCATATTATTCCATCCCTGGCTCCTCCCAAATCTCATGTCCTTCTCACATTGCAAAATACAACCATTCCTCCTCTCCAGCCTCCCAAACTTTTAGCTAATTCTAGCATTAACTCAAAAGTCCAAAGTCCATAGTCCTATCTGAGACAAGAATATTCCCATCTGCCTATGAGCCTGCAAAATAAGAAATAAGTTAGTTACTTCCAAGACACAATGTAAATAGAGGCATTTGGTAAATACTCCCATTTAAAAAGGGAGAAATTGACCAAAGGAAAGGGTCTACAGGCCTACAGGATGCGTGCGAATCCAAAACCCAGCAGGGGCAATCATTACATCTTAAACCTCCGAAATATTCTCTTTTTACTCCATGTCTCCCATTCAGGGCACACTAGTACAAGCTGGAGTTGGAGTAGCTGGGACACAAGAAGCAGCAGGGCCCTGGTCTTAGCTCATGAAATCATTCTTCCCTACTAGGCCTCTGGGCCTGTGATAAGAGGGGCTGCCATGGAGGTCCCTGAAATTTCTTTGAAGTCTTCACATTGTCTTGGGTACTCACATTCAGCTCCTCTTTACTTAC